CAGGAGACATAGCATATTGTCACGTTGAAAAAGTTGTGCCTGTGCGTGCGCGCGCGTGCGTGTGTCTCTGTGTGTGTGTGTGCATGGGTATGTGTGTGTGTGTGTGTCTGTGCACATGCATAGGTTTACGTGCAGAAGTAGCCGATCTGGTACTGTACCCTAAACCCTAAACCCTAAACCCTAAACTTTGCACATGCTTGTATTACAACATCGCATTGCGCGTACATTGCTCGTAGACGTTTCCTACGAGGATGGAACCTGGCAGTTCTTGCACGATGTGAGGCCGCAGTGAAGCTGTTTCAGAGTAATATAGGGGCCAAAAATGATTAGTATACTGTTTTGGGGGTTCGTTTCTATCATTGTAGTATATAGATAGTATGCCTCTAAACTTTGTTCTAATTACTACGGCCGTGAAGCCGTTGGGCGAGGGTAGCGGGCTTTGGGATTCCAAAGTGTTCGGGTTTCGGCTTCGCGAACGTCAGCAGCTTTCGTGGCATGATTCTTACGAAGGTTGAATCAACCCATTAATTTAGGTAGTCGACAAACACCAGCACACTTCTGGACGTGGACTCTAATGCACTCCGCCACAAGTGCTTCTTGAGAACTGAACAGTTCAGGTTAAGAACAGTTCAAACCTCCATCCGCGGGAGTCAGAACCTTCAGATAGCTGGCCCTTCATCCAAAACCCGTCCCGGCTCCAAGGCTGGACATCCACCGATAAAGCCCGATGCCTAACCTTCAGTAAGTTTACAGCAGGGCAGTTTCGAGTTTATAAGGTTTAGGGTAAGTCTAAGTTGGTCCTGGACCCAAAAGCTCTAAGCTGTAAGCCCGAAGTGTCAGAAAACCGACCAGGCTGCATGGTGCAAGTCCCCAGTACTACACCGAAGAGCAGGTTGGATAGAGTCTTAGAGGGTTTAGGGTTCAGGGGGGGATGGAGGGTTTAGGGTTTTGGGGTTCAGGGTTGGGATTAAGGGCTCTATCTCAACATTCCTAAGCAGCCTTTTCCGGGCTCGATGAGGGTTAGGATGAGGGTTAGGGGGGTTCAGTTCAGACCTTTCGCGAACGGACCTGTGGAAACAATCCACCCAAAAGCTTCTCTCTACCGTACGAGCTCAGGGCTTAGCACGAGAGGAGTTTTAATACTCCACTACCCTCATAACTATAATTCCTGAAGCCTTAATATACGAGAGTTGAACCGTGGATCAGTATGCTGATTAGGCCCCAAAACTCGAAAGATATGGGCCCCAAGCACAGAACACCTAAGCAAAATCGTCAACCGATGTTCCCCTAAACCCTAAACCCTAAACCCTAAACCCTATGTTCTACGGGAACCCTTGGTCAAAAAGGCCCCTGAACCGAAAACGTCCGTGGAAGACGCAGGTCCTCGCGCTGCTGCAGCGCATCGCGTGCCCAACGCTGCTGATCGAGCCCGGATATCCAGCTCGTATGTACATATCTATATATATGTATATAAAAATTCAGTTCACATCTACACATACACACACTTATCTACAGCGTCGAGTATGTTTATATAATATATATATATATATATTTCTGCACACAGTATCTAGTATGCATACGTCTTTACAACATATGTACATTTACAGACATACATAGGGAGACAACTAGATAGACAGATCGATAGATAGATAGATAGCTAGCTAGCTAGGTAGGTAGGTAGGTAGGTAGGTAGGTAGGCAGATATATAGATAGATGTAATTGTGTGCATATACATATATGTATACATATACAGGTTGGTCTAAGGGCTTCTTTAAGGCGATAGCGCATGAGGATTGCTACAGAGGGGTTACTACATAAGGGTTGCTGTCAGGGTTTCTTCAAGGGTTGCCATGCGGCTTAAGGGCTACTATGAGGGTTTTGTTCAGGATTGCTGCAAGGGTTACTATAAAGGGTCCTCTAAGGGTTCCGTTAAGAGAAGCTGAGTATGTTTCAAGTGAGCTTGAGAGCATTCGGCCGTCCTACTGCAGACCGCAACAGCAAGGATGCTCATTTTCAGGACCTCCATTTTGTTGTAGTAGAACCCGCCATCTGAAAACTTTATCTGCCTGCACCTCTGTCGCTCCCTCGCTCTATATATATATATATATATGTACAGATATGTATATGTATGTACACATATATATATATATACATACATACATATATGTAATATATATATATATATGTTATATGTGCATGTATGTAAGTATGTACGTACATATGTATGTATGCATGTATGTATGTATATACACACACATAATAACACTAGCAACATGTATCCATACTAGCTGTTAGAGTTTGAACGGAGAAATCACGTAGCTAACGGCAACAAGAAAGGAGGCGTCCGCACGAGAAGGCGTCATCAGCTGTTTATTGAGATCCAGAACTGACGATTAAACCGCCTTCAGGTCAGATCGAACTATGGAATTCCTATAGTCTCCATTGTAGTTCCTTTTTGGGGTTACCTTATAGGATCCTAATTATATAGTTGGTTAAGCCGAAAAAAGGAACTACAATGGAGACTATAGGAACATGCTGAAAGGTCCGACCCTGCAGAACCCAGTGCTTGGCCAAAGCCGCCACGCTGGAGCAATCGCAACCTGGATTTGATTCAGAGCTACGGTAGGTTCTGGGTTAAGGGTTAAGCGTTCAGGGTTTGGGGTGCAGGGTTTGGGTGTTCTGTTGTTTGAGGGTTTTGGGGTGAAATATTTTTTGTGTGCAGGGCTTGCGAGCGGAGTAGTCTTTGACGCACAGGGCAAGGTTGCGATTCCTGGTAAGAGACTTGTGCTAGAGAGGCTTTTCAGCATCAGCCCAAAAAGGAAGCTACGATGAAGACTACAGGTGGGTCTTGAAGCAACCGATCTCGGACTGCATTGGCCTGGTCTGTAGTGTAATCAGGGGCCTTAATCATTTGAGGAGGGTCCTGGTGTATATGATACGGCTGATGGACTGAATCCTGCATGACCTTATATACCTAAACTATGGGATTTATGGTATTATATTATATCTGGGTCATGCAGAATTTTGTCCATCAGCAGTAGTATTAATCATACTACGGAACTCGGAGGAATACTGTTGCGAATATTCCGGCTACTGCGTTATTTCACCACCGCATCACCCCCGAGTGAGCAACAAACTAGCAACAAGTGATTCTGCTGCGCTTCGATAAACCCTTAACGTCCGTAGTTGTGAGACCAGTTATGATGCTGCACATTAACCTCGAAAAGAACGTAAACCGCAAACCCAATAGCAGCAACGAAACATAACGAATTCACACAGATCAGAAACCCATATAGCGCCTACCAGAACGCATATAAAATACCTATAAGAACCTTCAACCCTAAACCCTTAACCCTTAACTATAAGATGTATGCCCGAATGGACGGGACAGTCGTGTGAGCCAAAGTCCATTGCACTTTAGAAGAACCATAAGATACCTATAAGATCCCCCTTTGAACACCCTAACCCCTAAACCCTAAACTTGTTAGAGTCTTTGGACCCGCAAAGCCACGAGGGAAGGCGGCCGTCCGTAATCTTCGGGCTCTGGAGTTGCCAGGAGGCCACCTGACCGCCGTGTTAGGGCTTTTGGGGTTTTAGGTTTAAGAGTTCAGGGTTTAGGAGTTTGGGAGTTATCGGAGTTCAGGGTTTAGGAGTTTGGGAATGATCGGAGTTTAGGAGTTTAGGGTTTAGGAGTTAAGGAGTTTGGGAGTTAAGAGTTTAGGAAGTTTTTTGGAGCTTTGAGGATTCAGGGTGCGAGGTTTACGGGCAGGGGTTTGTCAGCTGAATTTTGGGGGAGTTTCAGGGTTTAGGGCTAGGAGGATGTCGAGTCGAAATTCGAAGGTCACTAACGAGGTCAGCACTCAATATGGGGAAGAATCCTCCAGGATGAATTCTTCGCCGCTATCCAGTGTAGTAGTGGAAGTAACAGTAGTAGTAGTAGTAGTAGTAGTAGTAGTAGTACTAGTAGTACTAGTAGTACTAGTAGTACTATTACTACTACTACTACTACTACTACTACTACTACTAGTACTACTACTACTACTACTAACTACTACGACTACGACTACTACTACTTCTACTACTACTACTACTACTACTACTACTAGCCCGCTAGCCAGCTAGCCAGCCAGCTAGCCAGCTAACCAGCCAGCTAGCCAGATGGCTATGAAGAGTACTGCTATTGTGATATTATGTGAGCTAGAAGCATGAGGACACCACCTGCACCTCGATCCGGACACTGCGCCTGCTGTGGCAGCTGCCGTCGCCGAGTTTCTCCAGGAGCCTCAATCTCCTTTCTGCCCTGTGAACTACTTAAAGGTTCGAAATAAGGTAACTATACTTATAATTATACTTATAACTCCAAGTAGGGTACTTATTACTGTACTTACTAAGTCCCATGAGCCTCCGAGTAGCAGCTCGAGTTGGGGTTTCAGGGTCTGGGATGCAGGACCCCATTGCCGTAGCACGAAGGAGTCCTTTGTGGGTTCAGCACTTATGAGGTCTCGGATCCCTTTTGCAAGTCGGTGGACCCTCAGCCTCTAGCATGCTGCCCAGGAACAATCTGCACATCGGCCGGATTGGTGTGATGTGGAGCTTCGCCTAGATTGATGTCAATGAAGGAGCTTCTCAACATGAGGAGTCTCCTTCGATGGTCCCGGAAGCTCTCAGGTGAGCATGGCAAGAAACAAGATGTCCTTCGTGCGATCGGCTTTGTTTCGTGCTTGAGTTTTGATACATGCGTGCTGGCTCAGGTCAGCATCATTATCGACACAAAAACCGGCTACCCACCTCTACCCACACGCAAACCAGACATTGCGGCTTACGGTTTGGGAGTTACGTGCCATTCGGCCTTCAACTCAAGCAGCATGAATCAGAACAAAGAGGTGTCCAAAACCTCTGCGAAAAGTAACTAGAGTAGGGTTTGGGGGTCTACTAAACTATAACTACAATAAGGAACCCCCAAGACCCTATTCTAATTATATCCACCAAGACTTCGACAGATGTCAGGCTCCAGCAGATCGCGGCTTTTCTGGCACTGTGGGAGGCACAGTTCGGATTACGCCCAACCTTCTAAACCTGTTAACCAAGGCGTGACCAGCGACCCCCTAAGCCCTGCCTATAGTATTTGGGGTTACCTTATGGGATGCTAATTATATGATTGGTTAGCTCGACGAAGACTTGAAGCCCTCAGGGTTTAGGCCCAAACGCACGCAAAACCTTCAACTCCCCAAGCCCTGAAACCCGAACATCGTTCGATGGCGCAGGCAGAGCGGCTGCAACTTCTTCAGGCCGGTTGACCGACCATATTTTGGGTTTAGGGTCGGATTTCAGAAATGCGGGGTCTCACATGGGTCAAGGTTGAGGTTTTAGAGCTCTCTGCGCGTTTAGTACGGTTTTTAGTATGGCCTCTGTACGGGTCTTCGAGAGCTTCCAAAGTTTGTTCAGCGATCCCTATGGCGAGGCTCTTCCTACTGGGGGTCTATATCAGTCTCCCCGAGTTTCAAAGCCCCATGTAGATCCCAAAGCGTAGTATCCTGAACGCAGGGTCCCCCAAGGTTTCAGGGAAGAGGGTAACGAAGAGATCCGAAGTGCTTTCAGCAGTTCTGCCAAAGCACCTCCAGTTCCTGTCTCGGCTTCGTTTGATGCTCAGGCTTCAGGCATTTATGATTCCATCACAATGGAGCCAGGTACCCCAACAGAGGAACTAAATGGACAAACCTTCCATTGCTTCAGCTCGATGAACCTGGGTGGACGGCGTAAAAGTTAAAATTTCACTCTGCTCTGAGCCAGCGCACAGCGTGCCGCAGAAAGTTCGTAGATTTTCGTAGCATGCTTCAGGAGAGCGGTGGTGGACACCCGGTCCGAAACCCGAGATGCTAAACCCCAAAACCCTAAACCCTAAAAGCCCTAAACCCCCAAAGCTTACACCCTAAACTCTGATCACCGAAACCTTTGAAAGCCCTCAACCCTAACCATAGGCCCCATAGTAGTTCCTTTTTGGGATTACCTCATAGTCTAAATCTGAACCCCAAAAAGGCACTACTATGGGGTCTGTGGGTAAACCCTATAAACCGCAAGAACATGGCCAGAGTCGGTTGCTGAAGGATCCAGAACAGAGACGGGGATCCTCCCCCACCACCAGAAGCCCAGAAGCCCCAAATCCCGAAACCGCAAATCCCGAAAGTCCAAAACCCTGAAGTCCTAAACCCCTTAAAATACCCTAAACCGTAAACCCTAAACCTTAAAATACCCTAAACCCTCAAAAAAAAAAAAAACCTTAAAATACAACACTCAAAGGCCCAGAAGAAGCGGAGCCCGAATCGAACCCCAGCGCTCCCTCGACTTTAAAATCTCAGAAGCCAGAAAGAAGTCCCAAAAAACCCTAAACCCTAAACCTTTTTGTCCTTAGGGCTTAGGGTTTTTGGGACTTCTTTCTGGCTTCTGAGCCTTTTTGTTGACGGAAGAAGGTGTTCAACAAAAGGATCCTGAAACCCCACGTGAAGGTGGGTTACGCATCTCGAGCGCCTTTCCTCGCAAGTCTGGTGGCAGCGCCTGGAAAGCTTCACTCTCGCACCCCGGCTGCTCGACGAGTGCCCCAGGAACCTGCTCCCAAACCCCTGAGAGGAATCCTACAAGGAACCCTAAACCCTTGAACATAAGTGAGATGGAGTTTTGCAGGGTAGTTAAAGTGTTTTGATTGGTCTTTCTTTTCCTGTTTGTGCATGGTGTTGCAAGGGTTTTTGCGTGGTTCGATGCTGGGAGGGGCTATTCCAAAGTAGGGGCTGAACGAAATTAGCAGACCTTGTAATCCTTGTAACAAGGAACCTACTGCTTTGGATTTAGAACTCTAAACCCTAAACCCTAAACCGCTTCAATACCAGTTTGACCGAACTTGAAAGTCTTTGCTTCAGAGCATTGGGCTTTTCGGTGGGGAAGCCGTGCCGACGACGCAACTTCCAACGGTTTAGGGTTTAAGGTTTAGGGTTTGGCCCAAAACCCAAGTTGCTAGAAGCCCAAAGGCCTAAACACTAAACTGCTTAGATCCAGGTCCAGGACACTGGATTTCGGGCGGATGACTTGCTTCAGGCCGGGAAATTGAGTCGACACCTCGTTCCCCTGCTGTGAGCACTTCGGATATGAGATCTAGGATTGATGGGACGGTCAACTTGCAATGGTGCAAGTTTCCGTTCCAGACAGATCATCCGTTTGCGTCGAGACTTAAACAAACGCGTCATTGAGGCCATCGACGAGAACGAATTGTTCGATGCGACTAGCAATCAGGGGAAGTATTGACCTACCGGTTTCATAGGGGCGTTGAGCCTTGAAACCAAACCCAACTGAATCCTGACAACCCTGATAACTCCCGAAGCCTTACGATATCAAGCCGTAAACCTTAAACACATTTCAATATCTTTAAGCCTAAACGTCCCGCCGCCCCTCCCCCCCTCCCCCCGCAGCATCAACAAAACCATGACCACCCGAAGCACTCCAAGCCTTAAAAAACATGAAAGCCCAAGCACTACTTCCGCCCTAAAGACCACTTGACACCTGACAAACGCAAGTGGCGCACAAGGACCACCCAGGGAGGGTCAGAGGATTTCGCAAGTAGGTAACATAGTAGAGCTATAAGTGCCTGAATTGAGATCCTAATTGGGATCACGGCATTTACAACTCTGTAAAATATTCTTATCAGTATCGTCGCATTATCGTCATTATGACCACTACTATTCTCATTATTATGCTTATAAGCATAGAATTACTACTTAGACTTGTTAATTCCTCGGCCCTCCGAGCCTAACAGAAGCGGATCTTAGGACGGTTGGGTGCCCGAAAGGGAAGTGTCAGGATGAATCTTAGGTCCCCCAGTGTGCCATGTGGGTAGTTGTCTAAATTAGGTTTCATTTTAGGGTTTAGGGTTTAGGGTTTAGGGTATAACGGTGCCGTACTATATTGGGGGCCTAAACAGGGACCCTAATTTAGAGAACTACCCATGTATTCCTTTTTGTATTCCTTTTGGTGATCTGAAAGTTGCATTTTAGAAGTAACCAGTACCAAAATCTGAGCCCTTCTTATCCCTAGGCTACTGGGCATTACTGGGGATCTTGGCTTATAGGGTTTAGGGTTTAGGATTTCGGGTCTTTTTAGGGTTTAGCGGCCATGTGGGAGTAGTAAAGTTTCTACTGCGGCCGCCCCCCAAACCCTGTTCTGCTTCAAAAGAAGCTTCCTAAGATCAACAATGCTGCCGATACTGAGCGGCCCCTGCCCTAAAACCCTACAAGCAACATGCAGCCTGCGTCTTGAACCCAACCTGGATGTTCAACTGTGGTCACTTGCCTGGCTGACGCCCCATGCATGAAGCTCAAATGCTAATCAAAAGCCTACAGAACCACATGAAGCACCTATCCTGTCACTATACTTTGTTATCAACCCTTTACATCCCGAAGCCCTGACCACTAAACTCACTACCGTGAACCCTCTAGTTCCCGAGACACCCTGAACACTAAACTCACTCAACTGAGCCCCCGCGATCCCGAGCCCTGATATTACACCCTAAACCCTAAAGCGCTAAAGCCCTAAACCCCGAAACCCTAGACCCTGAAACCCTAAGCCCCGAAACACTAAACCCTAAAACCCTAAACCCTAAATCCCGAAACCCTAAACCCTATACCCCGAAACCCTAAACCCTGAAACCCTAGAAACCCCAAAACCCTAAACCCTGAAACCCTATAAACCCCAAAACCCTAAACCCTCTACTTCCCGAAGTTGTGCGGGGCAGGGGGCCGTCGGAGACTGCTGGTTCCTCTCAGCTCTAGCAGTGATCGCAGAGAGGTGGTCGCAGAGGGTTTAGGGTTTAGGGTTCAGGGTTTAGGGTTTAGGGTTTAGGGAATCGCGGGGTTTGGGGCCAGTTTCGGGTTTCAGGTTTAGGGTTCAGGGATTTTGGGGGTTTAGGGGTTAGGGCTGAAGCTTCGCCGACCCCCCCTCGTCTTCGATGTTCTACCGCACATTTATGATAGTTTGCTATTGACGCCAACCCCTTCAACCAGGGATTTCAGGATTCAGTTTGGGCTGGGCTAGAGTGACTATGGAGTAGAACGTCCCAGCAGTTTCATTTCCTTGAGGCCCTCTTCTTGGTGCGTATGCCTGTCGAAAGACACATATGTGCAAACAGATACGCAGCAAAGGGTCGACAGAATGATGGAACAATTGCGACATACAGCATCCCAAACAGAAGCCATTTAACCCCGAAGCCGTGAAGCCTTAAGCCAAAAAGCCGTAAGCCTGAAACAGAGAAATCAACCCCTAAATCCTAGTTCTTGCCCTCAAACTTACCCTGAAAAGCCCAAAACCCCCCTAGACCCTAAACCCTAAACCCTAAACCCCAAAACGCCCAAAACCCAAAGCCACGTTCATTCACCGAAGACTGCCAGGCCAGACCTCATCCTCCGACTCTTCCGCGGCGAGGCCCATTCCGCCCTTGTGCTGGGGAGGTTTTTAGTGTAGGGGCCTAAATATCTACCTATGCTATTTTGGGGGTTTAGGGTTTAGGGGATTACGAGTACTATTTTGGGGGCTCCTTATTATGATTATAGTATAGCAGCCCCAAAACCTTATTCTAATCCTATTTTAGGAGTATCTCTAGGGTTTAGGGTTCAGGATGGTAAAGGCCTAGGGGTGTATGGCGGAAGTTCAAGGTGCGTGCGTGTGTGTGTGTGTGTGCGTGCAAGAAGTGACTGTGTTGTAGCACTTTGTGCGACATTGGTGTGTATGTGTGTGTTTACATATTTATATATATACACATATACATATACATATATATATATATACACATACATATATATATATATATATGTGTATATATAGATATTAATTTATTTATTTGTTAATTTATTCATTTGTAGTCCTTCAACACTGTATCGATCTGGTTGGCAAATCGGGAGGTTTCGTTTTCTCCATATTTGTCAGCCTGCAAAGGTTCTACTTCGTAAATAAGGTTGGTGTCCCCTCAACCCTATCCCCAAACCCTCAACCCCTAACCCCAAAACGCTAAACCCTACACCGCTAAACCCGAAACCCGAAACCCCGAAACCCCGAAACCCTAAACCCTAAAAACCCTACGTACTCTAATTATTATGATTTCGATTTTGCTCCTCTGTGGATGATCAATTTGTAGATATGTGGTTCTTGGCACAAGCGGTTTAGGGCGTAAGGCTGTATTCTTTGTAGCCTTTAGGGTGTTCCTTTATTATAATTATAGTATAATGGGCCCCAAACCCCTATTCTAGTTATTAAGGCCCCTAAACCCTTATTGTAGCGTCTTGGGATCATGGTTTGGAGTGTGTAAACCTCCTGAGCTGCTACCAGACGACGACCCATCGATCTGGACGCTACGAAGCCCTTTGGCGCTGACTTCAGTCGGAGGTCATGTGGGTTTCTTCTATTTAGGTGTCCCTTTAGTTTGAGTTTGGGGTTTAGGGTTTAGGAAGGTATACAGTTTCAAAGGTAGGGTTAAGTGGAAGGTACCTGCCTACAGGCGTTGTCGTTTAAGATCTGTAGCTGACGTAAACCCTAAAAGCCTTACACGATAAACACTTAAAGCCCTAGCATCCCAAGCCCAAAACCGAAAATCCTAACGCCTGCACTTTAAACAAGAACCCGAAACCCTAAACCCCAAACCCTGAACCCTAAGCCCCTCAACCCTAAACCCTGAA